CATGATATGCATAATGTAAAAGATCGCTCGATATTATAGTGAAAACAAACCCTCACCTATCATTCTGAATATCGTCATTATTATTGTCATTTTGATTATTAATACTAATATTATGATTGTTCTCATGATTGCCACTATAATTGTTCATGGTGCTGCTAATACTAGGTTCCAGGCAACATAGCGTATCGATATGATTATCGAAAGTTAAACTGAAGCCGTCATTTCGTTTGATCATTAATGTTTCGTGGATAGGGTTTGCGCATTGAGGGTTCAGTTCTTTTGCAGTAATCTTGCACCGTTTTGTACTTGTCTCGGCCGATTGAACCTTGCTTTCATGTTGTTCTTGTGACAGATTTATGATGCCTGTGTTTAGCAACGATCCTTCTGAACCGCTCAAAGTAGTATCAGCTATCGAAACATCAACAGTGCCTGCAACTATCACAGTTATAACAATGCGTGGTGAGTCTGTTCGATCTTAGTTTCCTGAATCCAGCAAATCAACCATCGGCTACAATTTAAAGAGTTTTTCCGTTTAAAGAAAGTTCGTTGATCAATGCTTGCGCTATCACAATTTTAATGATTTTCTGAAACGTCGTTACTGATAGTGATGTTCATAAGGGACAAACAGATCAGTTTGTTTTAAACCTATGAGTAAAGCTTTTGGTTAGTAATTATTAGAAGCAGAAACTGACATCGATTTGGTATAGGATGAATAAGTTATTGGCTAAACGTAAACTGAAATTGAATTCAAAGCTGACCATAACTGAATGAGTCAAATGCGAATGAAGATGGTCTTTCAAGACGACACTCTGAAGCGACATTTGTTGAGTAAATGACGGGTTGCGGTGGTTCATTGGAAATTGCTATATTGAGCATACTTGACGTGAGATGAGATGAAGGCATAATACATGTGCAAACTGACGACTGCTGTGCTTCATTAGTGATTATCGCTGTTCGATAATGGGTGGGAATGGGAGAAGCGCAACTTTGACGTGAAGATGTGCTGAACTCGGGCACAGTTGAAGGATTTATCGAGGCATTTTTGCATTGAGGATTGTGTTGATGCTCTGTGCATGGAACACAGTGCTGCGAAGTGTCATCATCGAATCGCTTCGGAGAGGGAGATGATTTGCTCATATTGAAATTGTACTGATCAAAGTTTAAATTCGAACTGATTTGGTTGTTTTTTTTATGACGATACATTGTTGGTAGCGTTGCACTATAGGAAGGCATACACGTAAGTGAAGAAGATTTATTATTTTGGCCTTCGAGTGGATTTGTCTCGTTCGTAAAACGATTAGCTGCCGCATATGCTCGCAACAACACTTCGCCGCTCATCACTGAACTCATCGGTCTGAAAAATGAGACGCGATCAGTTCATTAACGATCAAAAGATCTGTTCAGTGAAAAAATTGATTTGATTTGATAGCTATCAGTTCCATAGAAGTGTGACGGTGATTAGCAGTTAGCAAACAAGAAACAAGAATTGAGTGCTTGTTACTGCATGATTACAGAACAATTGAGGTAAATTTCCAAAACCTTCGGGTGCGACTGCTAGGATGAGGTTCAATTTTAACAGTCTTTGGCTTATAGTGTTGAATAAGTGTGTGCTGATCACACAGATCAGTATCGTTTGGTGTTGACGCGGTCATCACACGACTGTAACCTAACGAAGTCATGCGAGCGATACATCGCAACGGCTTGGCAAGTGCTACTGGTACTGATGTGGCTGCTTCCGAATTGTTCTTCATTGAGGGGGACCTTTAAAAATCGTTCACTCTCTTCATCGGACGGCTGAGAGTGGAGTAAAGCACACTAAGTTTTCAACACTAAGCATGAGTTTCAAGACAGCTGAAGTTTGAGAAAAAAATTGTTTGTATGAACAGAATTTCAATCTGGGAACTAGCCATATACTTCAATGATTTTTAACTGCACTGATGAAACAGGAGACAGCTTAATGATGCAAAAAAAAACCGAAACAACAACCTCATTCCAACAAAAATGCGTTGTGTTCCATTAAAATGATATGAGAGTAGTGTGCTTGAATCAAGTAACGATTTGGCATGTAAAACAGACATGCATTCCGGTTCACCAGCAATCGCCAGTTCAGATAACCATTGCTTATGGGATCGTATAAGACTACTGGATTTAGCTGAGGAATCGTTAAAAAGCTCATTGCACACAGAACCACTCTCAACCGCTTGATTCTTGATGGATACCATTCGAAATGAATCGCATTTGTAACAGTGAAGATTACGACCTTATGCCGAACACAATTCTCTGCAAAAACACAACACCATAACCGTTTCGTTTACAGATGAACGTTTGATTCTACGAATGGTGGCTGCAATTTCAGTCATATCATGATGCTCGTTGACGAATCATTTAAGCTATTATCGGATGTGTTGTACGTACATCACTTCAGGATCTCATGTGTGCCTTTTGCGGACCTAGTCATTTAGTTGAACTGCTTCATAATCTGTTCACTCGAAATTCTATCTGATTCAAATTTCAGTAGTACGAAAAAGAGCTAATGATTGAAGCTTGGTTGGAAACGACCACTATCACTTCAGTAGTGATCGGCCGGTGATCATCAATCAACTTTCGGAGACTACCGCTCGAGGGCCAGAAAGACTGTTCGGTGACCATCGAATGGCTTGGCAGTCGATGCCAGCGAATCGCATGTTCACTGGTCGCCACCAATCGCGCGTCTGTCGTTGGCCACTGACCGTAATCGAAAGCGGATGATCGGTCGATAGTCACGGGAGAACAAATTTTAGTAGCTCCGATCGAAACAGACGGACGCCCAATATTTGCCTTGTGGATGGCCACCGAAAAAAATTAGCCCGTTACCGACTCTACACCACCTTATATGAATGCTAGTTGAAATTGTTGTGGATTAATGGAATATGTAATGATGAGTAAATAGATTATAATTGATCAGACTCGATGAATTAGTTGATTTTCTGAATATCGCTTAAGCATTAATAACTATTAAAAGTAATAATGATTAAACTTGCAGTTGTACTGATAATAATAATAATAATAATAATAATAATAATTATTATTATTATAACAAAAATAATAATGCGAGGAATAATAATAAATAGTGAGTGGTGAATTAGGGGTTAATCATATGATATGAGCGTGAAGAGAGATCTGAAAACAGAACAGGTAATAAGAAGCCATTTGCCGACAGGACAAAATAGGAGAGCAGTGATGAAGAAGTGCGAAAATCGGCTTCAGCAATGAAGGCGATACTGTTAAGGCGATATAGAAGGACGCTGGAAAAGACGACTGTGGAGAGGACGGAATGAATAATGCAAACGTTTGCTAAAGTTTCATTACAATGGCATACCATCTTATGAATTTACTTGTTTCACGTACACACACAATTCGAAATACCATTTGAAAAATACTGCTTTATCCTTATCAATGAATCTATCGTATTTGTGACAAAACTTCGAACCGTTATCCCCAATAGTTATCTTGTGGATGAGTTTTTAAGAATTCAGCTATATTATTCAGACTCAATTGCAATGAATTCTAAGCAACAATTCTCCTCTATACAGAACACTACAATTTGCAACATAAGAACGGAACCTATCTGAACAATGATCGCAAACCGAATGCAATAAAAAAGTGTAAAAAACTGTAAAAAGGATGAGTTAACATATTGCATATATGTCAGTATACTAAATTAGATTGATGTTACAACAACGATTATCTACCTGAATAACACCGCAGTTTTTTGTTGTTCTGTTTGCCTGTCTGATATCCCCCATTCGATTTTCGAGATAAAAAAGTGATATCTCAATAAAGTAATCAACGGTCCAAACGGAAGCTGAGGTACTTCCATGTGGGATGAGAAAGGCAAAATTTCAGGATGATAATTCTCATGATTTTATTCGAAGCCTGAAAAAAATTCAAAAATTCCCAGATCGATTAAAAAATAACGTGTTGAAATGGTTTGGTTGGTTTCATAATTTCGCATTTCTGCATTTGCATATTTTCAACTTCACTCTGCTCAATGTTACTTTAATTTTTCATTGAACCTTTTTTTCGAATTCAAATGTGCAGTTGAGGCTTAGCTGAAGTGAAGTATGTGATAATTTGGTACTTCCGCAGTGGATAAAGTGAAAAAAAGTGACTGAAACATGATCAAGGTTGAGTGCAATAGAGGCAGTCGGCTTGAGAAATGTTAAGAAAAAAGAAGGAATTGTAATGTTGGTGACGAGAATTTCGATGTTCCACTATTTATACCATCAAGTGACATTACACCTGTTCACACGCATTCACCAGTACAACAGCAATCTATCAAACTACGTACGTTAGATCAAAAAAAGTCACACACAAATAATTTCATGTTTTTCACACCAAAAAAGCATAAAAGCATTGACCAAATGTTCGAATAATTTAAGTTTCCTTAAAAGTATTCGACAGTTCAGCTCTAAAAATAAACATCAGTAGGATTACTGTAAATAAATTTAACATCATATCTCATTGTAGTGCATTAAAATCAATAGCTTATTAATCAATTTTGTAATATACGACTTCCGTCAAATTCTCCATATGGTAGTATCTTTGGTCCGATGAGCATAACGAACTAAATACTTTTCAATGCCATACAATTTATCAAAAAGCGTGAACAATTTTTTAAAAACATGACGTGTCTAGGAATCATTATATCATAATAAATAATGACTCAAATTACAGCAAGTTTGACAGGTTTATTCATATGCGAGGGATGTGCAAAGAAAGAAATCAATTATTTTCTAAAAAATGAATTGCACTAAAATAGTGATACAAGATTGCATATTGAAATGAATTAATAATTTTGCATTCCGAATGAAAAAGGTGACGAAATTCATAGGAGAGGCAATTTGAGCAAATAAATTAAGCGAATGCTGGAGATAAAAAGTACAATTTCCATTCATCTTCAAATCGTCGTGCTTCAAGGTCGTTATCCGAGATCACATAAGCAGTCAATGGAAGACGCTCAAAAATTGGTCATAAAACAAAGGTCACAAGGTAGTTGGTTGTTCTGAACGATCTTCGCAGAAGTTTCCAGCAATCGAAATAGAAGAGAAGTTCAAGCGATTTGTGAACTCAACGAATATCTTCGGAGAGTGAAGCTGCATGCGATGGATAAAATGATGACATTTGAAGTGCTCATATGCGTTCGAACATATCAGATGACTACGTGATATACACTACAAATGTTGCGTTATATTTATACAGCTTTGAGAGGTCATTTATCTGATCGAAAGAATGTGTCAGATTCCCTAAAAGATGTTTGAATGAACATATTACACCAAAATGTTCGCATTCTCCTATTTTTAACGCGAACAATTTTGTGTTATTTTAATATTTTACTGATTTTTCGAATAATAGATGATGATTACCAAAATTACTGAATCAGAAAAAGGCGTTATTTGAAGTTTGCCGATCACATTTCAAATTTCTCAACGTTCTGTGAGGCATATTTCCTCATTCTGAATTGTTTAGTACGTAACAGAAATAGTGAGGCTAGCAAAAACTTAGACCGCAAAGGATTGGGAGGAATGCTGTGCCAACAGGAAATGAATGTTGAATTGATGGAAATGAGATAGACCAAGCAAAGATGAGTTTAGTGAATAATTTCAAATGAATAATTAATAAATTTAATGAAACATTAATGAATGTTTTTTTAAAATACGTTATTAAAATAAATCCATCGAAGCGCTGAGAATTTGAGAATAAAGTAAGCTGTCGAGCAATAGACTAGTCAATGTGTATATAAAATGATAATAAAGCACATGCTTTCACATGAAGTCATTAAGCAATTGTAAAGATAAAATTCCATTCGAATCGATTAAGAGAACGCTGAAAGTTTAATATTAAAATTATCCTCGTCTCTTCTGGAACTGGATTCAATAGGAACAATTAAAGTCATCAGTGCTAGTAAGGAATCAAGAGAAAAACTGAAAAAAAAAACAACTGAAACTTGATCAAATGACAATCACATAACATCTGTCCAACTAGTTATAGTTACAATGAACTTTTCCGTAAACTTCAGTAATCAATTACCGCAACTGCTGAATATTCATGCAAAATCTTGATCTGTTGAAAGTAATTCGGAAACAATTCAAACAGCTGTAAAAAAGGATCGTTAATTATAAAGATAAACGAAACTATCAGATCAATAGCACGCGAACCGATCACTGACGTAAGAATTCAATGCAAACTGATCAGTTCGCTGTCCGCTAATGTTGTTTGATATGGACGCAAAGGAGAGCAATATGATCATGAATCGACGTCTAAATCAAGTTTATCAATGCATGACTTATTTCTGCAGATGAATCAACGATCATTCCTCATCAAATCGTATATTAGTTTATCAAATGTTGATTGTTCACGACATCATTGTTTGCGTAAAATCATTTTAAACAATAAACAAATTCTCATTGATGATGCTCAACGTTATCTTATTAGTCATTTCATCATTTATTTCACCTCAAAAGTGACTTCTCTGCTCTTTTATACATATGTGTTGATTTTCAGCTCAGAGCCTAACATAAAATCAAAACAACAGTTTCTAAATGAAGGCACGAAACTAATCAGTGATTGCGTATTCCCTTGTTTCGTCGGAACATCTGTTCATATGGTTTGCGAAGTACTAATTGTTGATCTAGTGAAATATGGCTAGAACATTTGCTGAGTGATCTTATGATATCGTATTGGCGATGCTTGTTGTTGATATATATGGTAGTCACTCGAAATAGTCATAAACAGTTCAAGCATGATTACGATTTCGTTAAACGTGATGGAATGTATGGCAGTGGTTTAAACGTAATGAACAATTTTATAAAACGATCATTTTTCGACGGGTCGTTTCCTGTGAACGAATTACAGTTGAGCAGTTCATGTACTCTGATTATGGACTAGAAAATGAGGATTATGAAAGCAATACGCAAAACGCATTTGATGAAACAATTTCAAAAACAGATATCTGATACTTATGATTACACTGATAAACAACGGGAAATAGAAACGGTAGTTGCATAGTAAATATTACACTTTACATTAAATGAATGTGTTTCGTTAAGTGAAAAAAACAATATTCGATAATATAAAATTGCATTTGAAGATTTTAACAATGCTCCCATTATGCACTATCAATTACAAGAAATCGATTCGATTTGGGCACAAATTCTTGCTGAACAGCAGAATGATCAAAAATCTGTTTGCATAGTAACAAATGAAACACTAGTCAATTGGTCGAAAAGTGATCTGCAAATGGAGATCACCGTTGACGAGAAGCGGCGAATTTTCAACGTATAACTCGTTGAGGTCTACTTTCTTCTCTATTTCAAGATCCGCACAGTACCTGCAATAAAAGCGAACACATCATGAATATTTCATGTTTTCTAGCCAAATTTGTATCAAACATTTACTCGTAACGAGAATGAGTATGAAAAAAAATCTTTCTGCATTTCCGTACGAATTAAATGACTGACAGTTGTTCTACTGTCGAGCCCTTTGAATGTGGGAAAACAATAAAAATGTGCTTGAGGACTGCATAAGGACTGCTGAATAGTCTTGTTTCTTAGCCTTTGGAGCTATTCAGTCGATTAAAGTTTCACAAAAATAGCACTTAATGAGTCCTTATATCATAAATTGGTATTGCACGCACATCAGCATAGCACGGTTTCGATATTTTTGGAGGCTCCACGAAACTGATCAATGTACAAACCTCGTTTTGGTGAAATTTTTGCGTCCAGCTAACGACTTTAATACCTTTTTCTCATCAACAATTGAAACAAGATATTCGATTGACCTCGGTTGGTCTATGTCTTCGGATACAAGATACATTCTCAATTCTTCATGTGAATTCGGCACTAACTGAGTTGATAACTGCAGTTTCCAATTCCATGACTGTAGCGGGAAGGTCGACGAACGAGTTTGAATCTGAATGAAGAATTGATTTTTTCACGCATCTGGCTGCTATGAAAGATAATACGCCATAATCAAATCAACTGCAAAATCATTTCAAAATGTTTGGATGAGCAATGCAGTTGATTGCAGTTGGTCGGGTGGTCGCTGTATCGAGTGCAGTTGGTCGCTATATCGAGTGCAGTTGGTCGGGTAGATTCCAAAGTTGTTTTTCAATAACTTCTCATTTGGACAACTACTGTAGAATGCTGATCTAATGAGACATAGCTGTTAGCAGTGTAAGTTTAAATAAAAATCCCACATGCATACTTATTGAATTTGTAGAAAAGGGGCCGACAGACTGTTAATAACGGATCATTCACCACCTCGACAAGGTGTTCATGAATACAAGAACAGAAATGAAACGACACAATCAGTTTCTTATACAGCTGCAATACGAGTTTTTCGATTGCGTTGCAGCATGAAAGATGTGATCTCATTATGGATACTTGAACCGCTGACCTCAGTTTACGAAACTAGAACTCTACCGCCTAACCACTGTCGACATGTTCAGTGATTATTTCAATTGAGACTTGAATCAAACATGTGACCTTTTTCGCTCCATAATTAACTATCAGAGGTCGTTCAGCAAAATTGGAGAATAGATTTGAAAACAATAAGGTGAATTTTATCAGATGATAAATTGATCCCCTCGAAACACCGACATGAATTCGGAGCGTTTCTCCATGAGGAGAAATTACGGTCACTTTGAAAGAAACAAAACGACCACTAAAATCTCCTTGAAAAAATGAACGGAAATAGCAAACTTAACTAACCGACTTATCAGCTGATCTGAGTACGGAGCAGATTTACAAAATGAAAATCTGACGAAAAACATAACGGAAATCATACTTTTTTCTATGCTTGACGATAATAAATGAACAAATTTAATGCAACAATTAACTGAAGAACTCACGCCGAATGCTTGATCAAATGTTCTGTTATAAGCATCCTCAATTCTAAGATCTTCACCTCTAACAACGATTCGTCTATCCCATCGTACATCCGTATAATTGCGCAAAATGAACTGTGTTCCGGTGAATTCTCTTCAATAAAATCAATATCATTTTAAATGCACATACGAAACCACCTACCTGCGAAAAGATACCATAGAAACGGTCAATAATTAGTTTTTCGCTGCAATCTCTCAACCTAACTTCCTTCGATTAGTGACAAATGAACAAACTTTCAAAAGACAAATGAACAAACTTTCAAAAGGCCCAATCAACAATTAATAAATAAATAAGTATATATATAGTTGATTAGGTCTTCTGAAATAAATAAGAAGTATATAAAAAATATAAAAGAAGATTAACTGATAGAAAACGACCCATACAGGGAATATGAAGAAAGAAGAATAGCCTACTTGCAATTCAGTCGACTTGCTAAAGGCAAAGCCTGGAATTTATAGGCTAAAAGAATCTGTGGATGGAATAATTTCGGATGCGTCTCAACAAATGGCGAACGTTCAACCAATGTTAATTCATCAGCAGTCATGAATGGAAACCTAGGATCAACGGAGCAAATTAAATTTAAAAATAGCAACAAATATTATAAATGTCAGATAGCTCATGAAATCATCATAATAATAAGACGACAGCTAGAATTTATTCGGGAGAAATTAAAGGAAATGAAGAAAATATTTTCGTCACTTTCACCAATGCGTACATATTTAGCAAATTCTTCAGCTTCAAAATAACCAACTGAATTGTCAAATGCACAGAATTCTACACTTCAGAATGGGACGTACATGGCTTCCTAATACTTCTTAGGCAATTGCTTGTTTCCGTGTTATCCGGAGGAAGCAACATATTTAAACCAAACACCTGATAAGTGGTAAAATTGATACGAGCAGTGGCGATGCAGTATTGCCCCTCCGTTCCGGATGCGAAGGCGCCATCAACCACTTTTGTACGGCTTCCCACAATCGATATTCACCTACGATATGTCTAATTCTAGTGCTAGTTTTACTATCATCCAAAACAATATCAACTTGAATATTTCATTTGAACTTTTTCTACGAGGTCACAATCAAATTTTTGACAACCAGCTATGATCTATGGAGTCCGAATATGATCTTTTAAAGTTTTCAGATAATTTTGAAACAATGATTTTAAACCAATGATAAGCTTTCATTGATTTCTTTGCAACTGAATTCTTGTAAAATTAGCCTTAGGAGATGATCACAATCATGCATAAGAAACGTCGCGCACACCTTATAATCGCATATCCTGAAGCTTTCGGGACATAAACGACTTTCTAATATAAAGTGCCTCATACAAAAACCATGAAAAAATTATCCCCGCTACCCTAAAGATGGGGAATACTCCAACTGAAGATATTCAAAAGAATGACATAAAATNAAAAAAAACTGATGTAGATTTGCTCGTTTCTGCATTGATACAGTAATAAAGGTAGATTAACGAATCCTCGATAACCTGATGGAATGCTTTTGTCGCGTATGAATACCATACATGGAAAAGTTCCCTCAACGATAATTCTGGTAAAATATTGTTGATCGCGTATTCTATGCAAACCTGAAATTCAAGATATTCATTGACAGAAGTTAGTGGTGACTCATACTTTGCCGTTATTTCGTGGTGAACATGAATCATGTGATTGAGCTCAAGGTTTAAGAAAGATTTTTTTGCTAATTAGCAACAAAATACCTTTCTGAGACTGTGGACGTTGTATTTATCAGCCAAAACAAGAATCGGCAGAGCGTTGTCCGGATGAAGAAGGATATGATTACAGTACAGAAATCGAAGAAATGCAGCAAACACTCGTTGACATTGTGGCTCTTCAACTAATTCTAACTCCTACAAAGCAATCGCTTTTCAAATGGAAGAGAGAACACTGCGTGAGTCTGCCTCAACGGAAGAGCTAAAACTTGAATATTGGAATTGTTTTTTGTTATATGAAAGTAATGCTTTTGTTATTTAATTGATGTTTCGTGAACGCAATTTTTTGTAGATCAATGTTAATGGCTTTTAATGCATTTCGATTCATTCGATATCGTAGTCTTGCGTAGATGGAGACGAAATCGACGATTTGAATACTATCTCTGATTTCCTCAATCCAACAATTGCGTTTCTGTTGTTAGCATATAAAATATTTTCAGCTGTTCACAAATCTTGAATTGTTACCACTCAGCATGCTTTACGCGATATCAAAAGAAAATCGGGGCACGGTAAAATACATTAAAAAGCATTAGAATTGGATTACAAGAAAAAATAGCTTGACGAAAAATCAATTCGATAACAGAAGCATTATTTTTGAATAACGAAAGTCACTTGCATAT